AGAGACAGACGTGGCTGCAGGTGCCACGCAGGCTCCTGTACTCACTGATCAGCATCAGTCTCTGCCAGGAGGTGATGATTAAGCTGAGTGCAGACTGAGCAGGAGGGGTCAGCCCTACATCCATGAGGGAAGTGGTCAACACACTAGATGTGGGACTGGCCAGCTGAGGGCAGTGCCATTGAGCAGTCAAGTAAGAGGAGGACAGACGTGAACACTGGATGGGGCAGATAGAGGCCACAGCTGCCTCTCAGGGACAGCCTGTGGGAGGAGGAGGAGGGATGTGGGTTAAAGTCAGGTGGACACAGCTGTTAGGAGCAGCTCCTCCAGAAGTGATTCAGGTAAGTGATGTGGAGGATGGATGCCACATCTGGAGGGCGTGGGAGGTCGAGCAAGAAATTTTTGTTTGCTTTTTGTTTGTTTTAAGAGGAGAAAGGAATTACCATTTCCTTGTCTATCTTGCTCACTTCTGCAGGCAGGAGTTCTATCTCTTTTCTATCATTTTTATGTTGAATGTCCCCCAGAGTGCCTGGCGTGGAACAGGTTTGCAGAGTGAATAAACTAGACCTTTCCACAAGTGTTCCTATTTTGTCATCACAAATGTTTAGGCTAATGCGACAGAGATTAGAACCATATCCTTGTAATTCTAGGAGGTGGTGGATGTCTTCATCAATACCTAAATAGGCTGGGGAGTGAGGAGAGATGGTGTTGGAGGTCGGGGCTGCTGCTGAGCAGGCCTGAATGAGTCGCTGTAGAACTTCAACTCAGTAAGATTTCTGACATCCATAGGCTTCTGACTCTTTCCATAACAGTAGGCACGAGAAGGCGATGTGCGTGTCCATGATGTTTGTAATGACTTGGTTTTGGAGGTTTCTGATGATTTCTCATGAAATTGGAATTCATTAATTTTAGAAGAGTTGACTCTATTTATGAAGAATGGAGCATTTATTTCTAAGAACAGAGCACTTGTTTCAATACACTTATTTTCTCACACTATTGAAAATATTCCTGTACAGGTGGTACTATATGCGAAGATTCTTATTCCAAACAATATATGTGAACAGAATGTGAATCTAGTCAAACAGAAGATCTTACATAAATTAGACACTTCTACATAAAATTAGAGTCAATATCAGTTGCTTTTTATATAATGCAACCATCTAGAAGCTTGGTTACAGAGTTCGTTTTGAATGGTCTCATGACTGGACTGCTGTCCTCCTGAGCACTATAGTGAGAAGCTCCCGGGCCTTAGCAGCAGGAAGCATTCCAGACTCTCTGATCATACTCAGGGTTGCAGTGGATTCTTCCAGAGCTTGTTTGTGTGTTAATTTTAAATCCTCGACTGTTTACAAATTGAAATTATGTAGCACGATGTCAAGGTGTTGCTAATTCAAACCACAGGCTGGGATTCAAATCAGGCCGGGATTATGGATGAAGATGCCCTACATAGAATGCTACTGCAATTTCCATTTCTCACTAGTCAGTTTGTTTCTTAACTCAAAGGGAGGGGGCGTTTGCAGTGGGAAGAGTTACCTTCCTGCAGAAAACAACCATGGATATGAACAATCCTACAGGAAGCCTTGCCCCAAATCCTATGTGGTAACTCAGGGCAGACCCCTAAAAAGTTTTGTGGGAAGCTGGATTCTGAGATAGCATTTAAGTTTGTTTAGACCTGTTTGACAGTTCTAACTTCATCACTTCTATAAACAAGCTTCATGTTTTAACTAATTTTTAGATTCTTCCATTTTAGCTATTATAGCCATCTTAATGAATTTTGAGTTGGATGTCATCTTTTGCAAGAATCAGTTTGGAATATCAGGCTTGGAATTTAGAAAAAGAGACCAGGTTTAGAAATAAACGTACTTTCTCACACTTTGATTTGACTTGAACAAACATAAATTGGAGAAAATTTGCCAATGGCCGTGGAAAATGTTGGTTTATATTACTTTTCACTGTTATATAAACTCTAAAGTGAATTAGAGCCCTGTTGCTGGTGCAGCTAACCTGCATCTTACTGCTCCTGTGACGTTTCCCCGCTGCCACCCCCCAGTGGGCAACAGCCTCCCCAGACACATTCTGGGTCAGGTTTCTTGCTGCATCTATGTGTCTCTCTTGCTGGAAATCCAACCAGGGCCAAGCAAATCATCTGGGCCCTGATTGTGCAAATATTTTGGCAATTAGTTGGAAGGTCTTCTTAGAGAAGAAGGCGCAATGGCAAATGGTAACTCCTTTGGAATATCAATGACTGGAGTCCTATAAATGACTGTGTCTTCTATGCAAATGGTGGCTCTGTTCCTCTCTATAAAGATAACACTAAAGTTATATGTGCCATTTGTGTATTCTGAGAATCTTTTCCTTACTTGCCTTATAGAAAGAACCCCGTCTCTTCTGCCTCTTCTCCTGACTCTGTGATTATTCTTTTCCTGACTCCACTTCCTCTGCCTTCCCCTCACATGTTGCTGTTTCTCTGGGCTCTGCCCATGGAGAGTTATGGGGAGCTTGTCAGGTCAATGTAGAAGGATAATTCCTGGAAACCAAAAGAGCCACTTCAGCTTTGTTGGTTGACCAGTTGTCAATATGTGATAGTGAGTGCCATTGATCCTCACTCACTGTGTGTTGCCATCTCGTCCGTACTAACCATATAAATGCAATTAAGTGATTGTTCTGTGATAGATGGCTTCCAGTAAAGGGACAGACATTTTTGTCTTTTTTCTTTTTTAAAATCTTAATTGCATCCAATCAAAAAGGATATGAATTATGGTAGATTTTGCTTTGTGAAAAAGTGGTAATAACAATGCAGTTGTATTTTACTTTGATACGTTAAGTTCTTCATCTTGAAATAGAACAGAATAAGGCTTCTTGATTGTATCGTCGCACACTGTGGCTGAGGGCTCATTGCTCTAATACTACTTAGTCTGCAGTAGAGTTTAGCCTAAGATGTAGTTTTCTTCAACTCCAGACAGAGAGCTTAAATAATCTAGAAAAAAAAAGGGTCACAGTTATGCAGCGACTCTGAATACAGATTTCTGTGTCATTATAGGATAATTTATAAATTAAATAAATATTTAAAATAAAGTTGTGCTGCACTTGTAAGCTCTGGCTGTTCTCTACCCTTAAAGGTTTGTGTTAACTGTTGAGAGGAAGTCACTATTGTGTTAATCAACAATGATTTGATGCAGAAGGCTGATTACAGCATATGGAAATAAGACAAAGCAATAAAAAAAAAGACCATGAAGTGGGGGTGGGAGTGGCATCCATTCATGGCTTAAATAAGGTGCCTCAGTGGAAGTGCATGTTGACCATGAGCATCAAAGCCTAACTCTTAGAAATTCTTGGAAATAAGAACACAGTTGTTCCTTGTCATTTTATTAATCTCTCTTCTATTTAGAACTTTGTGGTGTTAAGATTAAATGGGTTTTAGGAGTACTCAAATCTCAGGAATTGGAGAAATCTGTGGAAAGAACTTAAGGAAATGCATATCTTCACTGTTGAATAAAGATGAAATTAGTGTTTATTCACTGTAGTGTGCTCCATGATTTACTTCCCCTACCAACCCTCCCACCATGATTTTGGATGGCTTATTACTAAATTTGGAATGTTAAAAAGTGTCAAAGTTGGATATGTTAATAACTATACATCCATATTATTTTTTTCACAGACCTTAAAAATATAGACAGTCCCTCTGTTTACTAAATGTATGCAAATAGCTGACACAATTTGGAATAGAATATAACTTGAAAGATAAACACTTAATGGGATTCTGTGATATTAAATACAAAAGTAATGATTTTTCACAGTTGAGATAATGAAAGGATAGAAGAGACTGAAGTACTAATTACAAGCCTCCCAACAAAGAGCCCATAACCAGATGGCTTCCTGGCTGAATATACGAAACATTCAAGGAAGAATTAATAACAGTTCTTAGAGTCTTCCAAAAAATTGAAGTAGAGGGAATACTTTCAAATTTATGCTATAAGGTTAGCATCACCCTGATACCAAAACCTGAAAAAGGCACCCCAAAAATAAAGCTATAAGCCAATGTCTCTGATAAATATAGACACAAAAATTCTTAATAAAACACTAGCAAATCAAATTCAACAACTTATCAAAAAGATTACACACTATGACAAAGTGAGATTTATCCCTGGGATACAAGGTTAACTAAGCATTTGCAAATCCATCAATATGATACATTGCATTAACAGAATAAAAGATAAAAACCACATGATCATTTCAATAGATGCAGAAAAAGCATTTGATGAAGTTTAACATTATTTCATAACAAAAACCCTCAATAAAATAGGTACAGAAGGAAATTTTTTCAATATGATAAAGGCCATTTATGAAAAACCCACAGCTAACATAATCAATGGTGAAAAGCTGAAAGCTTTTTCTCAAAGATCCACTGCAGGGTAAGGATGCCCCTCTAACCGCTTTTATTCAACATAGTACTGGAAGTATTATCTAGAGCTATAAGACAAGAAAAATAAATAAAAAGCAACCACATTTGAAGAGAAGCAGTAATTTTTTTTTTGCAGATGACACAATTCTATATGTAGAAAACCCTAAAGACCCAATAAAAACATATTAGAACTAATAAATGAATTCAGTAAGTTTGAGGATATAAAAATCAACACACAAAAGTCATTTGCATTTTTATGCCATAGCAATCTCTCTGAAAAAGAAATAAAAAACAATAATTACACTTAAAATAGCATCAGAAAGAGCAAAAAATATTTAGCAATAAATTTAACCAAGGAGATGAAAGAGCTCTATACTGAAAACTATAAAACATTGATGATGGGATTTGAAGAAGATGCAAATAAATGAAAAGATATCCCATGTTGATTAATGGAAATAATTAATATTATTAAAATATACATACCATCTGAAGCAATCTACAAACTCAATGTAATATTTATTAAAAATTGAATGACATTTTTTACAGAAATAGAATAAAAGATAATTCTAAAATTTATGGAACTACAAAAGATCCAAAACAGCCAAAGCAATCTTCAGCTAGAAGAACAAAGTTGGAGGCATCATATTTCCTGATTTCAAATTATATTACAAACCTATAGTAAACAAAACCACATAGTATGGACACATAGACCAGTGGAACAGAATAAAGAGCCCAGAAGTACACACAATGTTATAGAGTCAACTAAGTCTTGACAAGGGTACCAAGAATACACAACCAGGCAAGAATAGTCTCTAATAAATTGTGTTGGGAAAACTGGATCATCGCATGGAGAAGAATAAAAATGCGCTCACATCTTACACTATGTACAAACGTCAGCTGAAAATGGATTAAAGACGTAAGTGTACCCTTTACTATAATAAGTCTTAGGACACAAGTATATGCTCAGTCCTGTGAGTTCTCTTAGCAAATCACCTAACCCAGGGGTTATCTGGGGAACCCCAGACACAGACGCAGGAATAGAAGAACATTGTTGTGCTTTCCCCTCTTAAATTAAAAATATTAACTTACATATATATGATCAATGGTTTTGTAAATTCTCATATGTAATGGTATTAAAAGAGTAGTCAAATATATTATTTAACACTTCAGGAAAAGCACTAGCTTACCTCTGAACAGAGACTTGGACACTGAAGAGAAATGGACTGGGAGGTCCTTACTCATTGAGGAAGAACCTCACTGGCCAGTGTGGTCAGTGTAGTTTGTATTTTGGATATTATTCTTCTCCAGGTTGCAGAGTTTGTTGATGGATGTGACAAACAAGACAATTAAATGATAGCTGACATTTTAACTGTACCAGAAGCTACACATGCAGTATCTCATGTAGTTTTTCAGCAACCTTCCAGGTTAGACACTACTATAATCTCCAATTTACCAATGAGGACACTGAGGTCAGAAGGGAGTAAGTGACCTGCAAATGTCACTCAGCCTGTCAGTGGCAGAGACAAGACTCACAGCCAGGCAGTGGATGGCACAGCTCCTCTGATCATTCTGTGACAATTTCTCTGCATTGGGAACCAGTCATGACAACCAGCGGAGATGCTGCTGAGAAAGACAAGCTGGCATTATCAATGCCTGTTATCGGAGGACAGAAGGGACACTCTTCCCACTGCTTAGTGGCCGAGGGCTTCCTCTCCTATCTTGAGTGTTTGTGCTATATGTCTGCAATCAAGGGAAAGAAGCAGGGTGAGATTACTTAAACTTTAATTTGGAGAGGAAGGCAAGACTAATTGGATCAATGTGCAAAATGCCAAGCTTCTGATGCCTCTTCTCTTCACTCGCCCTCTTCTCTCCCAAGCTCAGAAGCAGTTGATGAAGGGTAGTTTGGTGGGGGAAAGAATCACTCCTTATCTTATTCTTCAATCAGTTCCTGAATTGTCCTAATCTTCTTCTCTGTTATTGTCCTAACAACACAACTCTGACATAAAAAAGAAAATTAATTTCCCTTTTATCAAACTACTCTGAAATTTCATTTTCTCCAGGTACCATCTATTTGATTTTGGAAAGAGCCATCTTAACATTATTTTGATGATTTAGAAAACACCACAAAGGCGGTTCTGAAGATGGAAAACTTACTCATGAATGATGTGGACAACTTTCAAATGAGATGCGTAAATTTACCTGGCTATTGCGTGTTTTCTTGTTAGGTAATATTTCTCTCCACATTTAATTTCTTTTCAGATGGTGTGGGTACTTTAAAGCCTAATTTATTGACTCTGCATGTTGAGAACCCTGATGAACATTTTCTGAGAAGGGAAACAGTTTTAGAAATAACATATATGCTAATCTGAGTCTCAGAGTTTTGCCAGTCAACCATGGCAGAATCTCATCAACGATTTCTTTCCTAGAAATCATTTGGCTTCTCCCAGAGTTTCTACAACCAACACTGTGGTGTCCACAGGGTTTTGATAGCGCAGCAGCACCCAGGAGCCCTCTGATCTGTTTAATCTGTGTCTAGACATTTGGCCAAATGGCAGCTAACATATCAATGCACACATTTAGTGCTGCAAGTCAGCTGCTCTCCAGTTGAAACAAGGAAGTGAAGGAAAAAACCTAATGATTCATGAATTTTAAAAAACCTCTTGCTGCTTCTAAAACTGGAATCCATAGGTACATAAGTGTTCCTTCTCATAACCACTCAGCTAGTATAGAGTGGCGATTTGCCCATGAAATTGCCCATGTAGGCACTGACCATGACTGTCGTCACAGCCTGTAACTGGTATCCAAGCAGCAAGTTTTGCCAGATATTGAATTAAAAAATAAAAGACTAAGTGCTTTGAATCAGAGAAAGCCTGTTTTTATAGATCATCCTTTAGATGTTGAAAGGAATAGAGAATGAACCGTGGTTGGTAACTTCAAAGAGAGGTATAACGGTAAGTCTGGGAGAAAATGTAGCATTATGATTATCGTCATCTCTAGATTGAGCACATGTATTAAAGGTTACAACCTTGATACACCAAATACTCCATTCTTAGCATTAGTATTGTAAAAATTGCAAGGGCTATATTTCCTTTCCTCTTATTAGCATCTTTGCCTTGGGGAGGATATATAATTTAGACAGTCAATGGCTTTAAATAGTGTACAAAGTCATGAAACTAGGGAAAGAAAGTAGAGAAAGAAGGCGACCAAGGACTGAACCCATAGCAACACCATCATTTATGACTTTATTGAGAATGACAAGTCAGCAAAGGAAATCTAGTTAAACAACCAGTGAGGTCAAGGGGAATTTAAGACAATATGGTGGCAAGGAAAACAGAGAGCAGTATCCCTGAAAAGATTCACTCAACACGCACCTTCACAAGAAATTGACTGAGCACCTATGATGTGCTTGGGATTCAGAAATGAACAAAGTAAACAAAATCTCTGCCCTCATGGAGCTTATTTTAAACAGAGACAAATAACACAAAATAAAGTTAATTGAAACATTAGATGTGGAAAAATAAAACAGAAAGAAAGAAAGAATGGAGGGCAAGGACTTTAGTGTTAGAAACTCATGCAAGAGGAAGATAGTAGAGGGTTCAGTAAATTTGAATGTTGTGGGGAAAATACCCAGGGAAGGTATTTTTCACGGAACATCTGGGGTGGAGACAGACTGGAGTGAGTTGAGGAGAGACTGAGCTCAGGAAATGGTAACCTGTCTGGGGAACCCCTTCCAGATGATGGACTCTGTGGGGGCGAGAGTTGGGGAGAGATGCAGCAGAACAGATGAGGATGCGAGGTTGGCAAGGACCCCTTACTGTGGACTTTAGCTTGTATTTTTCTTTGCATTTGCCACAGGGAAATGCACCTGTGAAATTTCTAGCCTCCCTCAACCCTCCTCACCCTCCATCTTCACCTGCTCAGGATCACACTCCTCCCTGGGTCTTGGAGGAGCCCCTGTTTCTATCAAGCCCATCCCTGATCCTCTGAAATTCAGACATAGAGCCTGGGCCAAGAGGCTGAGGCAAAGGGGAGGACTTGGCTGAAGGGCTGAGTTGGTCCCTGGAATAAAGTACCAAAGGAAATGGAGAGAAGGTGCAAGCTAGCGAAGAAGGCAGTGACAGCATCTCATTGTTGATGGGGTGCAAGGGGGCTGTCAATTGAGAAGAAACAACCACCAGAGAGGTGAGAGAAGCAATGACAGACAGAAGTGTTTTCAAGGCCCACACCTGAGATCCATTGTGTCTCGTGGGTTTCAAGAGGCGTAAGGTAAAGACAAAATTCTATTTTTAAGAACTTTGACTTTGGCCAGGTGCAGTGGCTCATGCCTATAATCCCAGCACTTTGGGAGGCCGAGGCAGGCGGATTATGAGGTCAGGAGATCAAGACCATCCTGACTAACATGGTGAAACCCTGTCTCTACTAAAAATACAAAAAAAAAAAAAAAAAAATTAGCTGGGAGTGGTGGCACGCACCTGTAGTCCCAGCTACTTTGCAGGCTGAGGCAGAGAACTACTTGAGCCTGGGAGGCAGAGGTGGCAGTGAGCCAAGATCATGCCACTGCACTCCAGCCTGGGCGACAGAGTGAGACTCTGTCTCAAAGGAAAAAAAAAGAGAACTTTGATTTTTTGGAATGTGACTATTTTCAGTACAGATTAGACTCCATGACCTATGAATCTGGCTTTTATAAAGTTTACAACTACAGATGGGCATCATTTCACTGTGAAGAAAGAATGAGGGAGCTAGAGAGAGGTGTCCCCAAGTAGGGGAGGCTCTGAGGGACACAGCGGGTGGAATTGACGTAACCTCAAGGGAGAGAAAGGAGACCCTATGATGTGGACAGGGACCCTGAACCCACACCTATCATCTTCACTTAACCTTTTCATGAACACCAGGAAGGAAACACAACCAGGGACCTTCCCCATGTTCTCTGTCTTCCTTTCCAAAAATATTTTAGATATAGAACATGGCCTTTTTATAGTTACTTGCTACCAATCATTATTAATTCAGAAGTCAGTATGACTTCCACAGTGATTTTGTAATAAAAGTGTTCTACACACTCTAGAAACGTTGGTATAGACTGACAACTGGCTCAACAACTAACTCAACAAATGCTGAAATCCCATTCCTTACTTTTTCTCTCTGTGTAGTTTCTTACAGCTCCTGATTCAAGCCATTTAAACTCCAGTTCTCAAAGAGGAAGACTAGACTGCTAAGTGAGGGACAGCCTGTGTAGTGTGACGGGTCACCCACCAGGTTACTTAAGCGTGTATGTCTGCTGCCCGAACCTGGAAGGTCAGGTGGTGAGCCAAGGATATGGTGACCAGCTGAGGAGCAGGTGTCTGTGAGAAACCAAATATTCTGGAAAGTATTTGAAAACCTACCAAGAAACACAATCTCATTGTTCAAACACAGTAGGCAAAGAGCCAGAAAATTCACTTAAAAGCAGTTCAAAGATAGAAGGTGGCAATTAATAGAGCTGTCCCGCCACCCTCTAGGAGTGCTCTGTAAGTCCTAATAAGCTCAGTTACTCACCAAGCTGTGCTGGTCCACGTCATTCTTTGGTCTCTCTGCTCCTTCCCAGTTTGAGGGGAATGTCACAGTCCCAAATTCTTCTCATAGCAGGTTGTAGCATTTTCCTTGACTAAGGTGAATGAGACTTGAGAGGATAATAGGATTTTGCAGACCCCAATGAGGTCCTTTCAGACACTGAAAATTAAGTAATGGATTTATCTCACTACCAACAATTCTCTTTCTCAACATTTATATGCAATTTGCAACTACCCCAGTGTCATGAACAAACAGTGAATTGTGAAAATTCTCACATTAAAATGCTTTATAGTATTGAAATGATTTACTTTCATGGGAATTTATAAACTAAACTTAATTTAAAACTTGTTCTAAATGTTTTCATATAGGTAATGGGTTACGCATAAAAGAAAAGGGAAAAGGTAGAGTGAACTTCATAAGTTATATAAAATTTAGTTGATTTTTAGTTTAATAATGTAATACATTTTCAGTTAATAATTCCAGTGAGTAATAACAATGGAGCCAACTCTTAATAATTTGTTACAATTTGTCTGCCTTTAAACTATCTCACTGACAAATTTAAAATAAAATCTAGCTTTCTTCTGCCTCCTCTGAACTCCTAAGTAACCTGAATTTAAAGAGTAAAATTAGTTTTTTATTATTTTTTTCAGGCAAAAAATTTAAAAACATGCTATTAAAAAACAACTTATATATGCCATACTACTTCAATTGTATTAAATAACTATGTAGTTTGATTAAATAAGAACAATTAATTATTGAATTAGCTTATGCTGGTTATGCTTTGTATTTAAATATGATTTCTTGATAATTTTAGTAGCTGTATAAGCCTAGTTCCAAATCCACAATACCTATGAGGCTATACTCTATAAGTGTGTCATTAGCCTAATTCATTCTAAAGGGGATGTAATCAGCTTCTGTGATTACGGAGTAACCAACCATACTGTTTTCTGTTTGGGTCGGCTTTCTACCTCTTTGCCTGTCTTTATTTGAGATCTATAGACTCCCAACCTTACTCTCTAGTGTCTGTCATGATCAGTATTGATTGAAAGTTGCCCAGGTACTAAAGCAGTGTGGTCTGTGGACAAAAAAAAAAAAAAAAAAAAAAAAAAAAAAAAACTGTCTCGTCTTGTATATGAATCCTGCTGGTCTCATATAAATCCTTTAGGTTTAATGGAAGCTGTTGGAGTTTAAACACACCTCTCATCAAACCTACCAACTTCTTGTTTATACAAAAAAACAGTACGTTATTGTCTCTGTTCTAGATAATGATGGTGTTTTCCAAAGAAATTTTAATGAGTTTATGCAAATATATTTCTAAAGCTCTAAGTGTAAATCAAAGTTTTCACTTTTATGGGAGAACCGTGGGATCTTGCTCCTCATAGAACATTTATAAGGCAAGTCTAATGTAGGTATACGTTTGTTGAAATTAATAATTTAGAAGCAGACTTAAGAATCTCTAGCAGTCGTTTTTTTTTCTAGGATCATTCACTTATGAGAAGATCTACTTAGCTTCTAATTGGAAGATGAATTTGCAAGTGTTATTATAAAAGGATATTTTCAGTCAATACATTGGTAATAACGATGTCTAATTAAATAAACTGTTCTCCATCTCTTTGCATTTCATTTACTGTGATTAGACACACTTCACAATTATTGACAATGTTTGTCCGTTATTTTTTTTCCACAGAAAATGCTGGGTGTGTCTTCAAAGGAGTTTTATCCAATTCTATTTTTGTCACTGAAGGAGGCAGTGTGGTAAGTTTCTACTGTAAAATTGAACATAATTGTATTTTCTAATACACATTATGAGGTTAGACGATAATTTTTTAAATAAAACTCAGGAGAGAAAAGGCTACCATTGATTTCTTAACCACTAGTTCTAATTTCTTCTCACTGTGTTTTGGTACCCATTAATCAGTCTCTCTTAATCTCCTCCTTCCCTCTAACCTTCCTAGCTTCTGGTAACCACTAGTGCTTGGATTTAGATGGTGAACCTATGTCTCAATTTTTTATATATAATGGTCATGCATTTACTCATAAAGTAAAAATAGAAACAAACTTTGATCACGTCAATATGAGATTTTCAATCTTATCTCTTTTGCCTTCATATAAACTCAAATTTAACATAGTTTCCTGCATCCGTACAAATATTAAAGCTAGAACTAAAATTCTAATTATTATACTTGAATGTATTCAGTAACCAAATAAATTCCATCTGCCAGAAGATCGGTATCTGTGTATCTGTCCCGATAAAGTGCTTGTGTTAGTGCTAAAAATCAGAATTTTTATGACCCTTAGTAACCAAGGAGAAAGGTAGACCCAGGGCTACCTGTCTTAAAGAGTCAATGGCTGAGAACAGGCAGGGTGGGCGCCATGAACCACACGAAGAAACAGAAGATAAGTGTGTGTGGGACAGGACCCTCTACACTTGGGAATGCTGTTGGATCTCACTGTGGTTACCAAACTGAAGTACAACAACTCCACAGCCCTTAGTCATCACTGAAGGTCAAGTCAAGGAACCTACTTCAGAAAATACAAACTGAGTGAAAACACACGTCTCTCAGAAAAGACTCTTCCAAATGTTCGGGCGAGGAATATCCGAAAGAAAACTCAACCTGTGTGACGACCTAGAGCAAGCTGGGAAGTCATCTGTCACATTTTCCCACAGTTTCAACTTACTGATACCAAGTAGAAGATTTTAAACTCACTGGCTAAGTCATCTCGCTTTTCTTGCTCTTTGACCTTGTCCTTTGTAACCTGTATTTCTCATTCAATTTGGATGTAATAACTAGAATCCAAAGGAAGTTTGACAGTTCTGTAACTGTCTCTTAGAATTATAGCTCCTTATGCCGGGCGTGGTGACTCACACCTATAATCCTAGCACTTTGGAAGGCTGAGGCGGGCAGATCACGAGGTCAGGGGATCGAGACCATCCTGACTAACACGGTGAAAACCCATCTCTCTAAAAATAAATACACACACAAAAAAATTAGCCGGGCGTGGTGGCAGGCACCTGTAGTCCTAGCTACTTGGGAGGCTGAGGCAGGAGAATGGTGTGAACCTGGGAGGCAGAGCTTGCAGTGAGCTGAGATTATGCCACTGCACTGCAACCTGCGCGACAGAATGAGATTCCATAAAAAAAAAAGAAAAAAGAATTATAGCTCCTCATATTTCTGAATATCTGTTTATATGGTTTGAATATTGTAGTCTAATGACTCAACTTCAAAACATTACTCCTGCTGTGTGACTTATTTCACTGTCACTGAAACAGTCAATGAAATCTTTTCCCATCCAATAATTAAGCAAGATCCTTTCCAGAGCCTTTACCTGATCATCTGTTTAGTTTTGATTATATCCTTTCGGTTGTGAGAGAATGACACTTACTTTGGTTGCATAAAATACTAGGCATAATGCACAGAAACATGTTTCTGCTCCCATAGTTGATGCTTACTTGTCTCTGTTTCTTAGTTTCCTCTTCTGAAAGAGAATCTCACTGGTCCACCTCATCGCTGTCATCCTAGTTCTGCAGAGCCTTCCAGTGGAGGTCAGGTGGAAAGCTGCTGGTCAGCTTATAGCCATTCTTGGGTAAGGGGTCAAACATAGACTGTGCGAACAGGAGTAAGGTTACACAGAACAAAATCAGGGACTTGGTTCTTCAACAGGAGCAGGGAAGATAACCTCAGAAGAGGGCCATGGACCTGGCATTCAGTTTAGCAAGGTTTTAGATTAAAACACCTGAAGGTCTATTGGAGGCCCCTCCCCCACCTCAACCTGACACTTATACTCCCCCCTGCAAAACTCTGAAAATAAGTTTCAATGTTAATAGTTTAAAAATAAAGTATATCTCCTACTGCTGCAATCATTATAACTGTTTACATGTTAATGGGGAGGGGGATATTTTTCTCTGGTTGAGCTGCACAAGTAATTGCATTGATTATTTGCTTTATGTCTGGTTATTCAGACCTGCCTGAATTTATTTTCCATTTGCTCCAGTGCTCCATAAGCAAATGTCTGTACTGAAAAAAAAGTAACGTAGTAGAGGGGAGCAAAGGAAAAATGCTGCATATTTTATGATATTCAATAGGTAATTCTCTCCATGAACTGAAAACAAATAAACAAACATTATCCCTACTTGACAACATTAAAAATGTAAGGGCCATAGGCCAGGTGCGGTGGCTCATGCCTGTAATCCCAGTATGTTGGGAGGCTGAGACAGACAGATCACTTGAGGTCAGCAGTTTGAGACTAGCCTGGCCAACGTGGTGAAACTCTCCTCTCTACTAACAATACAAAAATTAGCCAGGCATAGTGGTGCACACTGTAATTCCAGCTACTTGGGAGGCTGAGGTGGGAGAATTGCTTGAATCTGGGAGGAAAAGGCTGCAGTGAGCCAAAATGGCACCACTGCACTCCAGCCTGGCCCACAGAGTGAGACTCTGTCTTAAAAAATAAGGAAGTAAAAGATAAGGGTCATTGCCATGTCTGTTTGCAGTCCTTAGGGATTTAACACATACCCTGTTAGGTGAATCCTTCAGAAGGAAGCTTTCTGAATTCACCTACAGGTGGCGAAGTGAATGCATCTCTCCCACACAGGACACTGCATCTCTGACTCGCAGTTATTTAGGACTACTAGAGGGAGTTTCACAGTTTTTGCTCTTACATTTAGGTGGATGGTCCATTTTGAGTTAATTATTGAATATGATGTGAGGTAATGATCCAACTCCATTCTTTTGCACGTGGATTACCAGTAGTCCCAGCATTATTTGTTAAAAACAATTTTCTTTCCCCATTGAATTGTCTTGGCAACTTTGTCACAAATCGATTGACTATAAATATGAGAGGGTATTTTTCTGGACTCTCAATTTTATGCATTACTCTATATGTCTATTCTTATGTCAATACCATGCTGTCTAGATTTCTATTGTTTTATATTTTTGTATTGGGAAATATGAGTCCTTCAACTTTGTTTTTTCAGGATTGTTTGCTTATTCAAAGTCCTTTGTATTTCCATATGAATTTCAAGATCACTTTGTCAATTCAAAAATGCCAGCTGGAATTTTGACAAGGCTTGCGTTTAATATGTACGCCAATTTGGAGAGTGTTTTCATCTTAACATTATTAAGTCTTCTGATCCATAAACATGGGGTGTTTTTACATTTAGTTAGATACTCTTTGTTTTCTTTCAAAAATCTTTTCTAATATAAGAATATAAGTTTTATGCTTATTTTGTTAAATTTGTTTCTGATAATTTTATTCTTTTTGATGTTATTATAAATGGAATTTACTTCTTAATTTCATTTTTAGATTGTCCATTACAAATGTCTAGAAGTACAGTTGACTTTTACATGTTGAGCTTGCATCCAGTAACCATGCTAAACTCTTTTATTAGTTCTAATAGATTTTTGGTGAATACCTTAAGGTTTTTTTATATACAAAATCCTGATATTTGCAAATAGAGATAGCTTTACTTCTTTCTTTATAATTTGGATAACTTTAATTTTATTCTCTTGACTAATTGCACTGCGAAAACCTCCAGTACAATGCTCAGTAGAAGTAATAAGTATGGACAGCCTTGTTTAGTTGCTGATCTTACGGAGAAAGCCTCCCATCTTTCTGTCATGCCCGTCCATGTGAAGAGACCACCAAACAGGCTTTGTGCAAGCAATAAAGCTTTTTAATCACCTGGTTGCAGGCGGTGGGCTGAGTCGGAAAAGAGAGTCAGCAGAGGGAGATAAGGGTGGGGCCGTTTTATAGGATTTGGGTAGGTAAAGGAAAGTTACAGTCAAAGGGGGGTTGTTCTCTGGTGGTCAGGAGTGAGGGTCACAAGGTGCTCAGTTGGGGAGATTTTTGAGCCAGGAAAAGGACTTTCACAAGGTAATGTCATCACTTAAGGCAAGGACCGGCCATTTTCACTTCTTTTATGGTGGAATGTCATCAGTTAAGGCGGGGCAGGGCATTTTTACTTCTTTTGTGATTCTTCAGTTACTTCAGGCCATCTGGGCGTATATGTGCAAGTCACAGGGGATGCAATGGCTTGGCTTGGGCTCAGAGGCCTGACACTCTAACCTTTAAGTCTGATATTAACATTTTTAAAAAACAGATGCTCAGAAATTGAGGAAGTTTCCCTCTATTCCTTGTTTGCTGAGTGCTTTTATCATGAAGGGATCTCAGATTTTGTCAAATAATTTTTATCTATCGGTTAATATGATCATGTTTCTCTTGTCTTTATTTCTATTGGTAAAGTGTATTGCATTAATTAATTTTGATGTTAAACCTTCCCTGTATTCCTAGGATGAATCCTACTTGTCCATGGCATATGATTGTTTTTATATGTCGCTGTTTTGGGTTCACTAGTATTTTGTTAAAGATTTAGTGTCTATATTCAAAAGAGATATTTGTCTGTAGTTTTCTTTGGATGTCTTTGTCTGGTTTTGATATCAGCTATCACTGCTTATAAAATAAACTTTCACAGGGAAGATGGGAGTTAATGGTTCCCTTAAATAATAAAACAAAGAGATTTGACAGGCATAGAAATAAAAGAGTGATGTGTAACTGTCAATGTTGTAGCTCCCACTTTGAATCCATTATAGTAAATGGACTATTTCCAAATCATCATGCATTACTTAAGACACTTCCATTCTCCTTTCCACCAGGATGGAAATTGGAAAAACAGCTTTATAAGGCTGCAGTGATTAACACCAGTCAAATCTAAAAATAAACATTTCCTGGGCATATGGAAAGCAATGTTTATCTCTTGAATGTATTTCAGCAAGAAAGTCATATGTTTTCTTATCATCTTTCTTTTTCTCTTTTTTATACTTTCCCTTCCTTCCTCCCTCCCTTCATATCTCCCTTCCTTCCTTCCTTCCTTCTTTCCTTCCTTCCTTCCTTCCTTCCTTCCTTCCTTCCAAAAGCAGCAGCTGCATAATCCCACAATTAGAGACTAATCAGATTATTTTTATCTTGGTTTATAATATTTTCATTCCCTTTTTGAAACATGTAATTAGCCAAAATATACTTCTTACAATTTCTCTTATGATTTTTAAATGGAATTATTTTACTAAGAGGCATTCCTAAGGATGGTGTTAGGTAACACCGTAATAATCATGAACATTAATAATAAATTGGAATAATGCTCAGGATGGGTAGAGCTAACATCTTTGAGAGCAGCTGTATAATGAGAAGCAATGTTCTTAAGATTCTCTCTGCCTTACCCTTTAGATAAGAAAATGCCTTCTCAGAGATGCTGAGGACATGAGGCTTTGCTAATGAGACATTTATGAAGAATCAATGCAGTCTTTACTAACTTCCTGAGACAAGAATATCTGAAATTATAATTATGAAGAAACTGATCCTTGGAGACTAAATAAAAATCAATATGAACAACAAAAAAGTAATTTTTTTTTCATTTTCCTATCTTGGCTGACATTAGTAAGTGCTAAATCATTAAACAGTTGGAATGAATGGAAAGCAGCTGCTTGTTCATCTATGAACTAGTATCTTTTTCTACTGGTAAAGTGTATTGCGTTAATTAATTTTGGTGTTAACCCTTCCCTGTATTCCTAGGATGAATCCTACTTGTCCATGGTATATGATTGTCATCCATCCATCCATCATTATCAGCCTCATTGACATTATGTTAGCTAAACCCAAGTATAAAAATCTTGATGTTTTAGTATGTCCTATGCACATTCTGGATTTCTGAAGCCAGCAAAGCCCTAAAATATGTTTAACATTTGAGAACAATTTTGAGATTAAACCAATGTTGACATTGTAGACCCAATTTCCTGCTTTTAGTTCAAGTACTGAGCCCCAGAAAAATATAATAAAAGTAACTAAATGTGCAACCCTTTCATACTTAAAATGAAGTTGAGAAAGATGAAAGGAAAGTTTGATAAGGAAGAGGATGTTTTTCCTGAACTAGAAAATATGTGTGAACATTCCTGCATTGTCTTTTTTTTTTTTTTTAAGTTGAAAACCAAACACATTTCCATTTAATGACAGGAATTTAAGCAGAGACCTGAAGTGGAATCAGCTTCACACAGTAGTAAACACAAAGTGGAGCAGTGATCTTGGCTTCAGCTATAGGGTTCAGTGGTCTGCTGGAACGTCAGACACAAGTTAAGTCACACTGCAGATTGTTTTCTAGTTGTGGCCACTGGCTGTCACTTCTAGCATAGCAGAACTGTGTTAGGAGGAATGGGAAAAGTGAGCACTAGTTTTCACCATGTTCCCCCTCTGCCTGCCAGTTTCTCTCTGCTCCCATGTTGGATGCGGCAAGAATCACCCACCAATCGGCCCAGGACAGACAAATAGGAAGGGTCCAATCACTCTGTTCTCCAACTACAGCCAGACTCACCTCCACAACAGTCTCTATGGCTTTAGCCTGGACTCCTTTACAGGAATCCAGCTCTGGCAGTGGCATCTGCAGAGGGGAGTAAGACTTCCTGCTAAATGAAGGAAGTTGGGTGAATGAATGGGTGAGCTGCAGGGTTCACTTGTGAAGGGACCAGGAGTGATAAAACATTGAGTGTTGTCTACAATTAGCAAGTGGCATGTAAAGTTACAAAGGTTTGAGCCCAGCAGAAGTTGATTTTAATTGTCACAAATTAATGTAAAGGCTTTTATCGACAGCATTTTCTCATGTATTTTTGCCAGGAATAAAACCTCCAGTGGTTAATTATTTGAATGCCTGAATATCTTTCTGGAATTTTAGGGGAAACATCTGACCCTTCATATTGTAAGTGTTCTCTAAGCTTAATTAGTGGAACTTAGAGTTTCATTTAAAGATTCAATATGAACATTTAATTAATTTTTAAAATCTGACTTTGTCCTCGGCAAAAGAACACTGGTTCAAAGTGAAAAATAGTTTCAACCACAGAGACCTTCACTTGTCCTTGGTAAATTGGATCTTTAAAAGGCAGTTTTCATAATGAGCTGCTGCTCTTTGAGTTAAACTATAATTTTTTCTTCAATTAGAAATTATATTAATTACACAGTGTCGGCATTTTTCAATATCTCTGGGCAGCATCCATTTCTCTCTGCATGAGTTGGATACAAGCCAGTTGTTGAGTTGCTGACCTGCAGTGGTTCACCTGGAAGCTTGTCTTTGGGACTTTCTAACTCTCAGAGTTGGAGCCCCTTCACCCGCACCTCTAGGTCCTCCAATTCTGGGGCCTTCCTTGCTTCACCTCTCACCCAGTTTGAGTGACCTGGCCTTTGACATCTTCTCTTGTGATCAGTCCTTTGCTCTGGTGCCTGAGCTTTGTCCTGTGTCCTAAGACACATCCCCATCTAAGGAATCAGAGCCACTCCTATGCCCTGTGGTTGGTGCCCACACCCTCCTGCCTCATCTTCAGGTACAGACCTCTCTTTGCCCTGGTCCTCTGCCTCCTGCTTTCTGACTGGAGACCCATGGCAACAGTCTATGTGGTTGGCTGAAGGATATATAACCAGTATTGAGAATGGGCTACCCCTCAGCCACCTACATCCCAGTTAGGGAAAGCAGTCAATTTGGTTAAGACTCTGTATTAGTCTGTTCTCACACTGCTAATGAAGACATAGCTGAGACTGGGTAATTTATAAAGGAAAGAGGTTTAATTGAGTCACAATTCACATTGCTGGAGAGGCCTCACAATAATAGTGGAAGGTGAATGAGGAACAAAGTCATGTCTTACATGGCGGCAGGCAAGAGAGCTTTTGCAGGGGGACTCCCATTTATAAAACCATCGGCTCTCATGAGACTTGCTCACTATCACAAGAATAACTCGGGAAAGACCCAGCCCCATGATACAACCAGGTCCGTCCCACAGCACCTTGGAATTATGGGAGCTACAATTCAAGATGAAATTTGGCTGGGGACACAGCCAGACCATATTAGACTCATAATTTGCCTTCTGCCCAGTATGAACTGGGCTGGGATGCCTCATAGATCATAAACAAATCTGCACCCATGAAAAGATTTGGGGAGTCACACAGGAAAGTCAACAGAAGCCAGAGAGATGAGGGTCCTGGACTTCATACCATTAGTGTGGATCCTTCAGCTTCACATCTCAGCAGTGGGTCAGAACTTAAACCTATTGTTTCTCTGCCTGAATGTTTAAGAACATATGTCATGCCTGACCCTCAGATACCAGCTAAGGCTTTCTTGCTTCCCAGATATTTGGCTCCTTATTTCTTTTATGCCTAGGATATCCACAGCTCTCCCCATTATTTCTCTTACCAATCCCTGGAGTTAGACTCCCCAAGTCCTCTCTACATGAGGTGGGATGTGCTTCTCTCACTGTAGAACAAATGCAATCTCAGTTCTTTCCCTTGTTCCTGTACTCAAACAAACAAACAAACAAAAACAAACAAGTTACATCAAGCATCACATGAATTTGGAAGCTCCTATTGAAGGTTCAATGGAGGCGGGGAAGTGTTTACAGAGCAGTCAGAAGCTTTCTGCCACCTCCCTGGCTTCCATTCTCTCCCACTCACTCTTTTCTTCCCTCTTTCTGTTCCCTTTACCAGGAAGGCACCAAAACTACTCCTTGGTCTTATGCAGAGGCTCCTCTCTTGTCTGACTGCCAATCCAATGTTCAAACCCCGGTTGTAGAGGTACCATTTCAAATTTGGCTCCAGGCATTGCCCAAGAAAGTCTGCACACTTCCTGAGTTCTGCTGTGAATCACAGTGTGTCCCCTTCATCCTCTCGCCTGTTACCAACACATTCCTATTTTAACATATTAGCATCTAAACGTAGCAGCCTACCTTGTTACTGTGTATGTGTGTATCTGCAGGTGTCTGTGCATATGCACAACATGGCCTGAGTGACCCACCCAGCTATGTTAAAATGTAGTCTAGAAAGGCCAATAATTTACTCTTATTTGTATTTGTTCGTGTCTTTTGAATTCAACAAAAGTTATCTGTTTTATTAATAAATAATAAATACATAAATAATATGGTATTAAACATACATACTGAATATAAAGTAATAAAATGAAAACATTATGTTACCTCTCACCCAAATTTACCCCACAACCTCATCAGCACCTTTGATGTCTACTCTGAACACTCTTCCAACCCATTGTCCTCTGCTTTAGGTAATGATTATCACTCCCCTTTCTTTTATGATTTTGCCACATAAAGACGTGGTTGCAGTGTCACTTAGCATTGTGTGGTTCGACCTAGAGGCAAACGGAAAGATATGCATTCTTCTGTGGCTTGCTATTTTTCATTTTTATTTTGTCATGCAGGTAACTAAGATTTCTTAGTCTTCACCACTATACAATGTCCCTTTATAATCCTGAATTTCATGTTATTCCATTGATTGCCATATGTGATGTTTCCAGATTTTTGCTAGCACCAACAGTGCTGCTATGGCTATTTCTGTCCAAGTCTCCTGGTGCAGGGGTTTTTCCTAAGTCAGGGATTCTCAATCATGGCAACCACAGGAAATAATATTGTTTGTATGGTTCGTTGGGAAACAAATAAAACTCTTTGTGATGGCTGCAGAAGTAGAAGCCTTCTCCAAGGCGGAAGGCACCAATATCTTGGTGTACCTGTAACACTTTCTGGACCTAAGAGCTGAGCAGGGGAGCACCAGGTGTGGAAAGACTGGTCCATCAGGGTTCTGAGTCTTAACTCTGCTACAGCTTTCTAAATGTGTCCAAACTCTTTTTGCAGACCACAGTAGTTCAATTACATTTGAACCACTTAATTATACTATGAAAGCACATATATGCAGAACACTTCTCTGTATTCCAAATATAACATTTGCAGTTGCCCACCACAAAGCATTTCTGCCTCTATTGAAGAGGCAGGCTGGGAGAGATAGGATAAATCACTGACTCCAACGCAATGCACCACTCTTTTAAGTGGTACTGAACCCTACATGTCCATAAGCCATGGTCTCTAATACTTTGGTGAAGCCAATCTCCCTCCCTCACATGCCCTCATTTTCTTCTCTGCTTGGCAAATACTTGCTTATTCTTCAAGGTACAGTTGAAAAGTGTAGGCTTATAAAAAAGAATGAGATCATGTCTTTTGTGAGAAAATGGATGGAGCTAGAGGCTATTAATCTCAGCAAACACAGCAACAGAAGACCAAATACCACATGTTCTCACTTCTAAGTGGGAGTTAAGTGATGAGAACTTATAAACACAAAGAAGGGAACAACAGACACTGGGGGTGACTTGAGACTGGAGGGTGGGAGGAGGGAGAAGAGCAGAAAAGATAACTATTGGGTACTGGACTTAATTCCTAGGTGATGAAAAAAACAAACCCAGTAACATGAGTTTGCCTATGTAACAGACCTTCAAATATACCCCTGAACCTAAAGTGAAAGTTAAATAAAAAGTGTAGGCTTTCATCTCTCCATCATCTCCCCAGAGACAGGTTATGCATTTTCAGATCCTGGAACTCTGCCTGTAGCCCATTTTCCAAAGTAGTTTCTGTGACCCTCCCTTTCTTCCTTCTAAGTTACATCCTGGTGGGAGGCAGGACACTGAAGTACTTAGAACCCCTCAGAATGGCCAGATCCTGTTCATGCTTGGGCTAGAAGAATGGAACTTTTGTAATTCTGGACTTGTAAATGGAAGCACATCACTTACTGTGAACCACATCCCAGACAGACACGGGCAAGTGAAAAGAAATTCTTCCAGGTAACTCATTTTTTAAAATCAGAGGAAATTGGTGGATATTGAGTCTGGCCCCAAATATTAAAAAGCTTCTGAGTTTGATATTTTCATAGCAACAGCAGTTAAATAGGAACATGACCCAAATTATGCCCTCAATTTTCACTAAATGAATAAATGAACTAATTAGTATTTGTGTCCAAGGGCAATTGGTTGGCAGTTCTGAGTCAGAAATAAACAGAAGGACAGGGTCATCTGAGTGGGCCACCTGCAGACCTGAACAGCTCATGGGTCCCTGCCTTGTCATGAGGCAGCCATGTCTTTGTGCTTGGGGAAACAAGAAGGAGGACATAAGTCCTGATCAGAAGCCACATCAAAGTTGCTCTGCTGTGTTGAAGGGAGGGGAGGGTGGGGGACTTCTGACAACATGAAGGTTTTATTTGTTCAGGGAAAGACCAGAAACAACAGAAGAGTGATGTTAGGTGAGTAAGCCAAACTTGGCCAGGTATGTCATTCTCATACTACGCATACTACACACTTTTGCTTCTGGAGGGAGAATCCATTAATGAATGCTAAACAATAGGATGCTACCCAGTGTATTCAGCATGTTTGCACGCCATTGACATCATCCAAATCTCTGAACAAGGCCATCCGCATTCTGTATGAGTTATTCACGTGGCTAATAAGCATGGACAGAGGGCACATTGTTTACTAGGTTAAGTTCAGGCTACACAAGAAACGTAAAGGGTAGTCCTTAACTTTAAAGCATTTACAATTATAGTCCAGGGTGTGTTTATATCTGGCCATAGGAAGTCATTAAGGATGATGCAAATTTGTTCAAAGGGAACTCTTCAGATTATGGTTACTGCAGTAGAAGTTCAGACAAGGATAAAATGGTTATGAAATGGAGGACCTATAAACAGTATAGTGTAGAGGGCAAAATATAAGCGTTAGTTCTGGACATGCCTGAGATCATGTTCTTACTCACCTATGATAAGTTATGTGACACAGTACATTTCTAGACCACTGAAGTTCCCAGATTTAGTATCTACCAAGTAGAATTCACAGTATCTATTCTGCAAAACTGTTAATGTGAATAAAAAGAGAAGATGTATCTCCATGGCCTGTCACTCACTAGTGTGAGTTCTAGTATCTTCCCTCCCTTACCCCACTGGCTTTTTCTAATTTGTAAATGCATTATATTTCTTCTGTGTTTCAGTGGATCTGCTCATCCAGATGTCCTCATTATAGGCTGGGTTCTCCAGGAAGAAAACAGAGATGGAGCTAGCTAGAAGCACAAGAAACTTTGGATGAGTAATACCTGTGGAAGAAAAAGGTAAGGAAGAAGCAGAAATGGGCAGAGGGAGCCATCAGAATGTGGCACAGATCTGTCAAAAGGTTCTCCCAGCCCAGTGTGGAACTTTATGCAAAGTGATTCTGTTGGAAGATTTGAAGAAAAACATGGCTAGGAGCTAGACCAACTATTTTCCCCAGCTACTGGCTATGCGTATCTATAAGAACATTCCCTGGCAACTATCACCACCTCAGGTTGAGGGCCACTCCCAAGAATATATGACCCAGTTAGAAGGCTTAAGGAGTTAATAGCTGGAGGCTGTCAGCTAACTAGAGGCCCTGTAGCTGGCCAAAGTTGAACCTGTATAATATGTCTTCACATCTCCTCCTAAATGTTTGGGATAAGAGTTTCAATCTCCTAAAGTATCTGGCTTAGTATGTGGGACTGAATTAGATAATGGGGAAAATCAGATGAATTATCTAATCACCTATAATTCTCTCAATTTCCTCTCATGCTTTAGACATGAGTAGTTTTCAACTATTATATTTATATTTCATTGATCTCAAGAGCTTTTAACAACCACTTGTTCCTACCCTCTCCCAGGAACAATTAATTTGGGTCTCTGCACATGAAGACACGATCCAGGCATTTATAATGTTTTACAGCCCCCAAGATGAGTCTAAGCTGCAGCCAGGCAGAAGGTCCACTGCATCTACTTAAGATTATGACCTATTAGGGGTGACTTTTCAATGCATGGAAAGAAGAGCTTCCAGGATGAAGGAAGGGCTCTTGGTCATGGTGTCCTCATCCTCCTCATCAGCATGGTAACAATGATGAAGACACAAAAATACTTCCCTTGCCTAGGCACTGTGCTAAGCACTTTACAGACTTTACATAAAGGCTTTAGGAAGTTAGGGAATAGTCACCAAGACTCAAAGCTCCTTCATCATGGACCTCACTCTTGGCAACTTTGGTGATGTGGACTAAAATCAACAGCACCTAATTGTTGGTCAAAGGATCGTTCTAGAACTTTGAGTTAGATTTACCTAGAATTCTTGTTGATGATGGTCCCCAGGCCCACTGCAGACCTCCCAAATCCCAGTCTCTGGGGCTGCACCTGAAAGGTTCATCTCAGCCTTCTCCCTGAGTAGCTTCTCTAGTCATAAAGCTTGGGAATCACTCTGCTGTATTTAGGGCTCTCCTCCTGTCATGCCTTCCTTTTCACATCCCCACCCCACCCCACTTCACTTTAGCTTCTCACCTCTCGGGCAACTTTCATGGAGTGGACAGCAAGAGCGGTGCATAGAAAGTTAGGGGTGACCTGTTTGCTCTGGACACCTATACACAGTAGAATTTTTAAACATGATTATTCTGCTGTTCCTTGGTGATAACCAGGAAAATTGAAAGATAAATTTCAACCCTGAGCTCAAAGATTGACTTCCCAGGCATGACTCTACACTTGTGAAATCCTTGTGTGTTCATTCATTAAGGCTTGATCAACAACCTAGCGTGTCCGTAGAGTATGAAGGTGTCATGGATGACGATTTGACTCCGCAAGTCATGCAAAGAAAGGCTTACATCACACAAAAGACAGACATTTATCCTGCAGATTGACCTCTGAATTGAAGGAAGAATACCTTCCATGAGCACACAGACTTTGGGAACACTGAGCTGGCCTGGGAGGTGAGAAAAGGTTCCCTCTCCACCCTGAGCAGAGACTTGGGAGCTGGCTCTTGGGGGATGGGGAGATGGCTGGCTGGCGGAGAGGGCACAGAATATGCAAAGCATGCAGCTCTAGAAAGTCCTAGGGTGTTCTGGAAAGGGGGAGACATTGAAATGACCTGCAGTTGTGGGTGAAGAGACAGGAGATGAAACTGAAAGGTAGGATAGTCAGTTTGAATATTTCATCCTAGCAAACGAATTCAGGATTTAAATGCATGGACAGATTTGGTCCAAAGGGACACACTGACCTCCGTTTTGGATACACTGAGTTCCAATTGCTTCTGGTAGGTCTAAGAGTCACCTGGAAATCCTTTGAAACCTGAGAAGGTTTGGATCAGTAATAGGAGCCTCAGGTTGTCTTTGAAGCCATAGAAACAGATAAGATCGTGTCTGAAGAAAGCGTGAGAAAACTCTAGCTACCAAATAGCTTAGAATGTCATCATTTCAAGTTTACAATTGGTATAATATAGCAACTCAGAAAAATGACAAATTAACTTTCTTATTCCGTAGAGTACACAGTTCTCTTTTTTCTTTCACATTAACGATGTGTAAAAGTGTTTTGCGTAGATTTTTCTCAACCATCCCAACCCACACTAATGGGACCAGACACAGTATAAATTTCACCGCTGGGGGTGAGAGGGTAATTTAGACTCTGGATGCCTGCCTGGTGACTGTCAGAGAAGGGTGGCTAATATTACCAACTGGGTGGTTGCTTTGTAATTTAGATACAATAAATCTAAAGCAAGTAATTTCCCTTCAGAACCTTGAATTGCCTCCTTAACGGAATGATTTTCAGTCTGGCTGAAGTTACATTTAAGCTATGGTGCTGGAAGAGCTTTTAGAAAGCATACCCAGAGGACTATTGATTGCACTCTTGTTTTAAATACAATTGGGTTTCCATTCACAGGAAATGTAGTGAAATGTCTTTTATGCTATCAACTTAAGATTTTGAGTACTTAAAGGAGTATTTTGTTTTGTATTTCAGTAAGGCTATAAGAGCCTCTGTAAACGAGATATCACTTCCCCTCCTAGTTTATATGTGTTGACTATTCATAGAGACAGGGAGCTTGTTGATTTTAGACAAAACTTAAATAGGACTTATCATCTGCACGCTGAACAGTAGCAGTAAAATAATAATAGAAAATTCTTATGCAATGTGTTCTGTGTGCTAGGCGCCATTCAAGCAAACACACAGATAAACTCACTTAGTGGCCCCCAACCCTGTGAACTGGCCACTGGGGAGAAGGAGACAGAGAGATGTTAATGACCTGCTCTTGGCCACACAGCCTGTAAATGTGGAAGCCAGGAGTCGAACTTGGGCTCTTGGGTCCCAGGGTCCACACACTGTACCAGGTGCTCTGCTTAACAACCTACTGTGTGCCTGGCTCTGTTCTGGAAGCCAGTAAGGTCACAGCGAATAAGGCATTCTATGTCTCCCAGCACCTGATTCTCTGGAACTTATACGTCAAAGATGCGGCATGGGGGAATGTGGTTTGGAATAATGCTTTGACATGAAAGAATGCTGTATGAAATTTATGACGAAGAATGTTTGAAATGGCTAGCATAATTTTTGGGGAAAAATAAGCTTTAGTCAAAACTGATAACTGAGCTAATTAAAATCTCCTTTTCAAGCATATGCTAGCCGAAAAGACCTGTTTTCTTCTTTGAATTCCTCTTTGCTATATAAATGTAATGCTGAACTCCCAGTGCCAAGACCAATTTAATTCATTTTCTCATTTACAAGTTAAGAGAAAGAACTTTCGTTAACATATTAGCTGTCTGCTGCTTTGGGATAACGACCAGCTGAATTGATGAACTTTATATAATGATCTGTTGCCATGGTGAGGAGCTTCCCCATGAGTGGAAGCGGGTGTTCCATCATTACCTCCCTGATAATCTTGGAACTGTAACAGATACAAATAAGAAACCTTTTCTTTTACTCTGCAGTGACTCTGGATTGATGAGACAAACACTAGAAATGTATCTGAGATACACCAGTGAGGAGTCAAACAGAAACAAAAATAATACCTATCTAGGCTCTACACAATTTGAAATAAAGCAATTTAGCTTTCTGGGTCAGTAGCCTCAATGTCCACAAAGAACTTCTATGCCTTGCCATAGGTAACCATTGTCAATGGGGTCATTTATTTCATATGCAGGTATAATTTCTGCACAAGTAAGAAAAAAGTACAAATGTTTCTTTAAGCTATTAGAAAAGCAAGAGAATGGGTAAAAATAAATCAATGAATTTTGTATATACTGAACGTGAATGTTTACAAGCCCCACCCTGTGCATTTTGTTTTGAAGCCTAGAGGAAATATGCACTGTTTCTGTTTTCTGGAAATGCTTTTAACTTCTGTAATTTAGAATAATTAATTTAACTTGAGAATTCTTTGTTTTTCCAAGGTTTTAGGGTTTATCTGGATTTAAGCCAGAACACACACAGGAGGTTGTGATTGTCACTTTAGATATTGCATAAACATTAGCTATTTCATTGTTGGAGGTGTAAGGAAGTGTATAACAGGCTGCACAGTTACCTATAAGCATGAAAAGTCTAAAACTATCATTTAAAATTATTTTAAATTGTAACTATGGTAAATGTTGAAACTAGCCACATTTCTTTTTCTTCTTTTTTTTTTTTTTATTTCTTACTTTCTGACAGAATTATTTTTACGCCCTCTCGAAACTTTGCAGGGGCTGAAAATTTTGGGAGTCTGTGAAACAAATACTCACTGTAATTAATCAGAGACCATTTCTTCTGATGCTGGAAAGCTTATTCTCCAGTGCCTATTTAGTTCTAATTTTACCCCCCAAAGAGCACCAGAGGCATTTCAGAAAGGTTGTCAGCAGCAGCAGCCTCTACAGGAATTAATTTATAATCTCTTCCAAAATGGATAAATTTCATAAAATAGTACATGCCTCAAATGAATATTCTTGCAATTTTAAAAACCAGAATTATATAAATATAGAATTAAACAAGGTATATTAAAGTATTTTAAAATAATAGATATTTAAATAAGATTCATCTAATATTATAATAATAGAAAAGAAAATATTAAATATAACGGACAATTTAAATTATCATTGTTTAGAAGTTGCATGGTATTTAGGGTAAAAAACAGAAAACAAATTGCTTTCTACTATAGTCATTATCTTGATCTGAACAAAATATCTCAGTAACAAAACGTATTCTTTATATTCCTCACTCTTGATACAAAGCAACTCCACACTCAAATGGACAATTTTTATACTTGCATTGATTTCAATTGAATAAGCGAAAGAAGATTGCAAAATGGAATTTTATTTAAGTTATTAA